TGATTTTATAACATACTTATGTTATAATTTTTTATAAAAATAATATATATATATATATATATATATATATATATATATATATTGACCACTAATATTATCTGTCTATCTATCTATCTATCTATCTATCTGTTGTGGGGCTCTCCCTTTTTACATAAGATGGACTCGTCCAAAGTATACTTATACTGACAGAGAGTATACCTGCTGTTGAGATACGTCGAGATACAGTCTCGGCGTCTGTCGAACTCTCTGCTTTGCCAGAGAGGAACCCGGACGAAGCTTTGCCGAAATGCAAGGTTTCGTCCGGAGAGGAAGACGAGCACTGAACCCGTCTAGGCGGGTTCAAAGGGTATATTTTTGGCCGAGCCTACGGGCTCGGAAAAGCCCACTTTAAACTCGGCCTTGTGCCACATGTATTCCTCGTGGGTGGGATATTAAATACCGAGATACGTGGAGATACTTTGAGACAGGTTGAGAGATACGGAGACAGACACAGGGTGTTCTCAGAGAGAGAGAGAGAGAGAGAGAGAGAGAGAGAGAGAGAGTGAGAGAGAGGGGAGAGAGAGAAAGAGAGAGGGGGAGAGAGAGAGAGATGATTACGGCTTTACTTACAGAGACTTGTACATATACTTTCTACTAACCCGCATTCCTGGACTAATAATCTTCACTTCAAGTCTGTATTCTTACGTTTAATACACTTATTTTTCTATCTCAATTACTGGCGTTGTTTATTTATTTGTGTAGTATTCCATTCACGGAATCCACAACACTATCTATCTATCTATCTATCTATCTATCTATCTATCTATCTCTCTCTCTCTCTCTATATATATATATATATATATGTTCATATTTAGATCGATCTATATATCTATTCTTATATCTATCCTATTATTTGTATATCTATCGTTATCATCGTATCTCTCTATCTACATTCCTCCCATTATTTTTCTCTACCAACAGTCACTTCTAAAATTAATTGATAAACAAAGTTGCATAATTTATAATTAAGAAAAATGACTTAATCATAATATCTAATTAGGGTTTGACTTAGTTATACATTCTTTGGTGTATTCATTTACAGAATTTTGGACACATTCTGAAAATACGAATCAAACAGCATGAAATTTGTAGTGTTTACTTGATTTTTATTTAAATTATTAATTTGCAAGTCTCTTTCGACCAAAGATTGCAGAAGAGGAAAAGAAAAACTTGACATTTTTAAAATTCCATTTCTGGAATGCATGTGTAAAGAAGTTCTCTATAGCGATGTAAAAGTAACTCACTCAAAATATCTGTAAATTGTTTATTTACCCTCTTAATCCTGTTTGAAAGATCCCCAAATGTGTTAAGATTCTTATCAGTACAATCAGGCCTGCATTTGAAAACGGCAGCAACATTCTAGTATGTTCAAATAATGTTATCAGTACTTATTTTTAGCCTAAAATATACAAACAGAGCATTCTGTAATTGATATTCGTGTAAGAATTTAATCATTGCAAGAGGTAAATAATTGACAAATTCGCAAAACGAACTGATTGTTAAGCTCTGGAAAAGAAGGTAAAAGTTACAGTAAAATCTCAAACAACCTGAATATTCCATTTACTTTCATTAGTTCATTCATTGCAAGGTATAAAAAAACTGAAAACTGTTGAAAACCAAAGAACATTTGCTCCACGGAAGATTTCTTCAAGATCTTTGAGGAAATTAATGCGTCAAATTAAACAAAATTCAATGGTTACTCGTCAACAGTTGCAGGGTGATTTGCTTTCACTAGGAATTTGTTTCACGAAGCGGAAAATAAGGAATAAAATTCATAGGAACAATTTAAATTGGACCTCCCTCGAAAACTCCCCTGCTATTGAAAAGACACCGAGATGACAAGTTGAAATTCGTTCGTGAACATAAGGTTGAGGAAAAAAGTCGAATTGGGAAAGAGTATTATGGACAAACGAAACCAAAATTGAGTTGCTTTGAGGTATTCTAGGAATCATGTATGGAGAAATGTTGGCGATGCCATCAAACAAAAAAACACAGTTCCAACTCTGAAATCTGGAGGTGGCAGCATCATGGTTTGGAGATTTTTCCTTTTGGAAAAAGTAACTTATCAGTAATAGATGGTAGCAGTAATGTCGCGCCACATCAAAATACTTTGGAAGGAAATTTCCTGATTTCTGTTGAAAACCTTGAACTTCTTCCTGATTGGATCTTCCAAGATGATAAAGATCCTAAGCACACGGCAAATTCCACGAAGAATTTGCTTACTGAAAATAACGTAAATATCTTGAAATGACCAAGTCAGTCTCCAGATTTAAACCCAATCAGTAGCGTTATTTGAAAAATCAAATCCAATCGTGAGGGCCAAGAAACATCCCGGATCTAAAGACCATATTCGAAGAAGAATGGAACAAAATACCAACTAAAAGTTGTAAATCATTAACAAAGAACTACAAGAAGAGGTTGGTTGCTGTAGAAGTGAATAATTGCAAATCAACGATGTCTTAAATGAAGCTTATGTATTCTTTTCTGTATTGTACGAATACTTTTTTCACCTATTTAAATGGATAAATGGGATTTATTTCTATTAAGTAAAATTTATTTCTGTTTTCTCTGCATGTTCATTTATTATACCTCTGTGCAGAATTACTTATATGAAAAATATGCTTATTTATTAGTTGGAAATAAAAATCTGTATGTGTACGTGCTGCCTGTAATTACTCATGGTAGGCATCTAAAAAAGAGTAAAATATTTTGCATTTTTGTTCATAATGAACTGCGTAAATTTCATAATTTTGTTAAATTAGGTGCATATTTTTGCCACAGAAGGAACATGTAGCTACGGATCTATTTTTGGGTAAGTATAACTGTCTACCTTGCCTTCTGAGACAGCACGTTCAATACACACACACACACACACACACACACACACACACACACACACACACACACACATATATATATATATATATATATATATACACACACACACATATATATATATATATATATATATATATATATATATATATATATATATATATATATTCAGAACAATACTTTTCATCAGCTACAAAACTTTCCTTTTCAGGACAATGCATTTCAACCACTATAAATTTACCTTTTTGAAGACATTTCCCAACGACTAGAAAGTTGTCCCTCTCAGGAAAACACTCTTGAACCATTATAAAACTATCCTTTTGATGACTACACTTTTCAACGACTACAAAATTGTCCCTTTCAGGAATACGCTTTTCAATCACTATAAAACTATCCTTTTCAGGTCAACGCTTCCCAAAGTCTACAAAATTCTCCTTTTCAGAACTGATATAATGGAATATGCATAAACCTACGTCCCCGTTCACTGGAATATGATTGGTTGGTGTCCGTCATAAATACGGACGGACGTGTAGGAGAGTCAAAAAGCTTTAGTATGAGAGCTAAGTCTATAACGACGCCTATTGGACTACGCCATTGATCTACACTTCTTACCTGCGACTACGACGTGTACCAGTCGATTACTGCTACGATATTCTACTTGGTTATAGTAGCCAAAACCACTTAGATACTTCGTTTAAATATATCCCTTTCCGGGACATGTCATATATATATATATATATATATATATATATATATATATATATATATATATGATATAATGTAATATGCGTACACCTTTATTTCCCCCTCACTGAATATGATTACTTGTGTCCATCATAGATACCGACGGACGTGTAGGAGAGTCAAGACAGCCTTAGTCTGAGTGCTAAGTCTATAACGACGCCCATTGGACTATGCCATTGATCTACACTTATTACCTGCGACTACGACAAGTACCAGTCGATTACTGCTACCGTGTACTACTTGGTTACAGTAGCCAAACCCACTTAGCTACTTCGATCAAATATATTCCTTTCGGGGTCATATCAAGAACAATACTTATCAACACTTCTCTCGCCTTGTACATGAACACGCAGAGATATTTTTTACTAGTGCAGTGTAACCTTATTTATGTCGATGTATTTACTTTAACAGAAATAAACTCGGTATTTTTAAAATTTTTATTTTTAATCAAGACTTCGTTTTCTTCATTGTTGTCTTCCGTCATTCAATGTCTGTTTGCGGGTTAATATACCCCACCCGTAACAAAGGCTACATTGATGCAGACAAAAGGGAAAAAAAGGTGGTAAGAGTAGCTAGAAAACGAAACGGCATAATGACGGACAGTTTCACATCTTTAGCGATCCTCGTTATGATTAAATCTTTTGTATGACGTTAAACTACATTCGACGGCAAGGACTCTGATCGGGTGATTGGGGGTTTTGAGGAGTCGGGAAAAAACTCTTAATAGCTTTTGTTTCCAGGTCCGGCCTAACCCGATGTGCCAGCATCTTTTAGTGACCTCGCAGCAAGAAAAAAATACACCATGAAAGTATACAAATACATTTTTTATACCAATTAATCGCATATACTTAAATATTGTAGTGACTTCACCCAAAACGTTTAAAATGATATCAAGCAAACAACATAAAAGAATTTTCATGACTTCAAGCCATATAATATCCTACAATTTCTTAAATCAAAATGTATTCCACAATATAACTTCAACAAAACAACATAAAACCTATTACTGTCTCTAGTAACCATGTCCACACAGACGTGTATATGCACGAAATCTGAGTATCATCTACCATGAATTCCACTGTGAAAGCGGAATAACATATTTTTTTTTTACTTCGAAGCTCACAAGAAAATTAAATATCGGCATTAAATGACCCATAAACAAATCACTTAATCGTTATCATGATGATCACTAGACATGAATCGTCCTGTCATCAAGCGGTGTTGATTTATGAGTCTACACTGTTTACATCTGCAAGCGAGACTATCCCTGATATGAAACTCTTCCTACCCCATAATTATAGCAGATTTAGTAAATATAATTATCTCTTTATGGACACCTGCACATACGCACCAATAGACATACAAAACCAACCCGCATATATATTCTCTGTCGCAGCACACTTCAACCAACCGTTCCACAACATTGATGACATCAGGCGCGTGCTTTCAGCGTCTGCATTTGACAGCCGACAAGAAAGAGGCAGATCCAACTTTCAATATAATTTCAGAATAAAATCATACATTAAAGTATTAAACGGGGATTGGGATTTGCTCGGAGAATATAGTTTCCACAGGGAGCCCTCTAAACAACAAAAACATTTCTAGGAAGAGTAAATCCTCGTCTCGTTGAAAAAGAACACAGGAGTATCCAAAAATTCCGACTCTAAAAACTTTCTCTTCATGCTTCAATTTATTTAAATGGCTAATTTATATAATAGATGCGAACGTCAGTGTGTCAATGTGTCATAGTTTTAATCTTTACTCCTAGAGTTCGTAGCCCAACATATAACATTTTTTAATCAGGCCGAATCCGTGAGCAAATTAAAAACATTCCCAAGACAGATCCGGACCGTCAGTCCTGAAATTTTGGATTCCTAAGTTTTCATTTCTTCTATTGCCTTCGTTGATTTTTTACCTGACTTTTACGACGAATATTTTTATACGCTAACAAATTTTATAACGTCGAAATATATTTGGGAATAATCGAAAATAATTGCGAAATTCAGCGACAGTCACTCATGAAATAAAAATAATTGCCTGTAAGGACCTATGAATATCAAAATGTCTTTAAATTTATTGGCGGCAGAGCACTTATCGTTGAACTTTTAAAATGTAAGCTAAAATATTAATGCGATATTTAAATGCAGCGATCAATTTTCTTCTTCTGTAGTTTATTGTTGTCTATCGCATCTACTCCTCCCTACCTATTGCGATGAAGGCCCAATCAAGAGCGCTCCGCATGATCTAGCTTAAATACCCCACTCCCAAAAAATAAGGCGGCTTTGAAACTAGTATATAATGAATATCTCTAATCTTATTGTTATCATTTTCTTGTCTTTAATTCACAGATTGGATTAACCAACGTATTAAATATATATATTATAAGAAGCACACGTGGACCATCTATTGTTTTAATTATTGTTATGGTCCCGGTTAGGACCAAGGAAGAACAACACGAACACAAGAGTAGAAATAAGGAAGGTATATTACACGAAATAATAATACAAGATGTGGAAGGTGTTAGTATGACTGTCAGTCTCGTTTGGAGTGAACAACTATCAGCTCGACTCGATTCGGTATCTAGCCACCCCATCCCTCGAGGGTTGCATGTGGCACAAGGCCGAGTTTAACGTGGGTTTCCGAGCCCGTAGGCTCGGCCAAAAAATGCCCGTAAATGCTGTAAAAAGAGAATCGGGCTGGTCAACCTCACCGAACCTTGTTCGAGTTCCTCTCTGCTCAGAGGTAGAGAGTTCGACCGTCAAACCGAGAAGCTCTTGAGAGGCGCAGTATACATAGTGTTAGGAAGAGTTAATTCTGTAGTTATAGGTAAGGACCCATGAAAATACACACACACACACACACGCACACACACACACACACACACACACACATATATATATATATATATATATATATATATATATATATATATATATATTTATACACTGCGTGCCAAATTATTATCGAGATAACTTTTTTTCTAATATTTCAAATACCGTCCAATCAATTCACACAAACGTTTCACACAATGTCGGCAACACTGAGCTACGCAATCACTGAAATTTTCGTACTGATCTGCGCAATGTAAACAAACTGGCGCCATATTTGTTATCAGCACGCTGATTTGAGCGTGCGAAATTATTAGAAAAGTATAAGAATTTAGTGAAAAGATGGGCCGTAAAAGCAGTTTAAGTGATGCTGAAAAGAAAACTATTGCCTCAGAACTCTCAAAAAGGTAAATCTACCATAGAAATTTTTAAAATGATAGGAAAGTGTCACCAAACAGTGAAAATTCACCGCCGACCCGACACAAGTCCGCAAAAGGGCATATAAAGGCAAGCCGAGTGTTATTTCACGTCGTCTCATGTCACGACTTAAACGAGAGGCCACGAAGAACACTGGACTTACAGATCACCGTGCTGATAACAAATATGGCGGCAGTTTGTTTACATTGCGCAGATCAGTACGAAAATTTCAGTGATTGCGTAGCTCAGTGTTGCCAACATTGTGTGAAAATTTTGTGTGAATTGATTGGACGGTTTTTGAAATATTAGAAAAAAGTTATCTCGATAATAATTTGGCACGCAGTGTATATATTTATATTACTCCATCTGGTGCAAAATCAACACCTGTGCAGCCAATTAAGCTTTCAACCACTGATGCAGCTGATATGGCTTCGGGGCCGAAATTTCATTACATCTAATCCAAAGCTGATCGGCAATGCCGTACGATGCTCCCAACCTTTGTTGATTTTATATTACCATTTTATATTCCCCAACCCTTCATAATATGGCTGATCAACTTTCTCCACAAGTTCTTTTCTCTACTACATTCTTAAAGTAAATTTGCCAAATAGATATGGGTGTGTTATCGATAACTAGGGGATATAGCTTGATTAAATATAAAAATTGATACCAAAGATGTTTAAAATTTTATTTTGTTTGCTTAATAACTCCTTTTTTTTATTGAACCCTTTCGTTAATAATATTTTTCTTTTTCTCATATTTTTGCACACCCAGTAACCCCATGCATGTTAGTATGTTTATTGCCTTGCTTTGGATGAAATGATTAAAGAAATAACTTTTTTTTTTAATTATCTTCAAATGCGATAGGACTTACTTTCCAGCGTAAGGCCATCTACAATTTTTATCTTAGGAAAAATATATATTCTACGAATTAGTGTTTAATGATTTTGATTAAGAAAAATCGAATTTGTTTTTATTTGATCACCATAGAAAACTCTCTCTCTACCGCTAGCAGAACATGCTCTCACATGAGTTAACTTATTGTCGGTCTTCGGTAGGTCGTTTGAAGGACCCAAGATCGAGTTGCGCCTATTTAATTATTTTGTCATGTCACCTTCTTTGCTGGGTCCCCATGATTTTTTTTTTTTTACCAGCAACCATCCTTTCAAAGTATATCTTTGATATAATCATTTTTGTTTTGTTTGCTGTGACGATATAACATAAGAGTTTTATTCTTTATTAGCCTTGCTGCATCACACATTGTTT